GGGCTCGGGTCCCGAGCTTGGGGACCAGCAGAGGCTCCTGGCGGGGATGGTGCCTGGACGGGGGCCCGGCGTTGATCCCCTGGAGGCGGCCGGCCCCGGCAGTTGGAGCTGTTCTGGCACCCTCTGCGGAAAGAGCTGCCCTATCACTGCCGCCTGGCTTCCCCTCCTGCGGCCGTCTTTCGCCTTTTCATAATTAAACAGCATTTTGCTTCTAAAAATACCCAGGAAGATGAGGGCGCCTGATGGGGACTCGGCCAGGCCAGCTCGGTCGGGGAGAGGAACTCTCCCCGAGGTACACCAGCCCCCTGGGTGGCACCCCGGGGCCCTGCAGGGCCCTGGCTCGTGCACCCTGCCCTCACCCTTGCCCGGCCCTGCCCTCACCCTTGCCCGGCACCGCTGGGGCCGACCAGGGGACCAGGCACCGTCCCTCCTCCTAGACATGAGTGCGTGGCTCCGGGATGCTCGCAGGGCAGGAGGGGCCAGGGACCAGTCAGAGTGGGGGCACACAGGGACCCCCCTGCCTGGGCAAGGAGATGCCGGCACATCCAGCCTGTGCTGGCATCAGAGCAACACCCGCGCCACCGAAGGGAGTTTCAGGCTGATGTCCAAAACATCAATTCCCGAGGCCTGGATGGGGTCTGGGAGCGCCTGGACCCCCCTTCACCCCAGGCACTACCGGGGTGCTGGGGCACGCCGGGGAGAGCTCCCCCACCGAGCATCTCCCGCTGCATTGCCGTCCAGCATATCGTCCTGCCCGCAGCAGAGGGGTCGAGCAGGTCGCTCCGTCTCTCTGCAGCGGCCCGTTCCATTCCAAGTTTGTACAAAGTCTGTCTTATCTGCCACAGCATGACCCTTATTCCTGCCCCTCTCACAAGCCTCCATGACCCCAGTACCACCGGGAAAGCGGCTCCCCTCGAAGCACTGATTACTCCGGCCCAACGGCAGCACCTGCGCTCGTCTGCTTGGAATTGCATCCTGCGTTTTCAGGCTTTCTTCAATTTTTCAAGATTATTTTGAATTAGTCCCCTGATAGGCTTGGGTTTGGAGCCCTCTCCCTCTCCAGCCACATCTCCTCCGCAGAGGTAAAAAGCAGAGCACTGGTTCCACTACCTGGGCTGCCACCGGCTCTGTTGGGGACATCAGGACCCCTCTGGACGCTCGCGCTGCTCCGGCAGCGCCCCGTGGCCGATGACTCTTGCCAGTGGTGGGAACGGTGCTGCAAAATGCCAGCTGGGAGGAAACCAAAAGTAGCAACCTAAGAGCTAAGTGTGCAAATGCTTGGAAACAAAGTCATTGCGTTTGAAGCTCAAATTCAGTATGTGCCGCCTTCAGAAGGAAAGCAGCTCTAAAAGAAGAGAGCTGGCAGCATGGCCTCATCCCTCATGGCTGAGTGACATGGGAGATCACCTCCGAGGTATGGCAGGGCAAAGCATCCTCCTCCTCGTTATCGCTGTGGGTTCGTAACCAGAAGATGCGACGCCTGATCTCCAGCGGGTGCTGAAGGGCACGGCAGACCACAGTCAGTACCGATTGCACGGGCAACGAGTGCTTGGAATAATTAGTGTTATTATCAGCTTCACTACAGCCTGAGGACATGAACCTCTCCCCTCCTGCTCGCTAGCACAGCCCGGCCGAGCAGTGCTCGGGGGCCCAGCCTGGCCCCCACCACCAGGTCATTGACAGAGGCCGGTGGAGGGACCTGCCCATCACCGCTTGCTCCTCCACGCCCTGGCCACCACCGACCTCGCACCCAGCGCAGCCCCACCGCCACCAGCCGCCGCACGCAAGGCGGGAGGTAGGCATCGCCGCGGGCTGGAGAGACGGGAGCCGTCGGAAGGCGAAGGTGACGTCCCCACCCGAAAGCCGGAAGGAGCAGGAAGTGGGGCAGGCACAACCCGCTAACGGGTAAGAGAGTTAATGAGCAGTTTTGCGCCTAGGAGAAGCGGGGAGCCGGGCAGGTCACCTGCAGGGCTGGTAGACCACCGAGGGGTGCCCGAGGAGGACAGAGCTCTGCAGAGAAATCCACGACGTTTGCTGGGGAGCAGGCAGGGAGAGGTTCCCACGCTGCAGCTTGTCTTCGGGCGGGGTAAGGCTGCTGCTAATTGAAGTACCAGTAAAAAAAAAAAGGGGCTTTTAGAGCAAATCAATGGAGGGAAGGAGCCTGCAGGAGCAGCAAGAGGAGCTCAACTATCGGAACGGCCCACGGGCGGCCGCTGGGGTCAGCCCCAGCGGGACGAGGCTGGCAGCGCCGCGCCCCCCAACGCCAAG